AAAAAAAAAAAAAAAAAATCAAAATCCCCGGGGAAGCGCTGCTTTCTGGCCCGCGCCCCACAGGTTTCTCGCCACAGGTCGCCGCACCCGCACACACCTTGGCGCCGCAACCGCCGCTTCTTGAGGCCGAAGATGCGGACCTTGGAGAAGATGTCCACCAGGTTGCCGTTGCAGAGCCCGCGGTTCTTGCTGGGGCTGTTCCGCCTCCTGCTGGCCGAGGGCCGGTCCCAGTGCTGCTCCCGCGCCTGCCGCTTCTGCCGGATCAAGCCACTGGCGATGGCCGCGGCCATGGCTGCGCTCCGCTCCGCGCCGCGCCGCTCCGCACCCGCGGCCGGGCGCGCTCAGAGCCGCCGGGCGCCCATGGCGAGCGGGCGGCGGCTGCGGGGTGGCCGCATGGGCCGCCCTCCCCCCGACGCCGCGGGACACCCGCCCGCTGCGCTGGTGCGGGGCGAGGGCAGCGCCCGGCCCGGCCCGGCCCGGCGGCGTCGCCTCCTTGGCGCCCTTAGCAGCGCGCTCGGGCCGCCCGCTCTCCCGCCGCGGCCATCGGCGCGGCCGGCGCGGCTACCGCCGCTCGCGGGCGCCTGCCCGCCGACCGCCAAGTGCCTCGGAAAGCAGCAGCATCTGGAGAGAGAGCCGCGAGCTTCTCCTCGGGGAGAGCTGTAATCGCGGCGCCTCGGTCCCACCCCGCGCCTGCCTCCCCCTGCACACACACACACACACACACACACACTCGCGCGCGCACACGCGCGCACACACACAGGCACCGCGGCTGCTTTTGTGCCCTCCCGAGACGAGGGGTGGCCGGAGGGAAAGGGGTGGAGGGAAGGCAGAAAGGCAGGAGAGCAGAGGCGAGCAGCAAGGCGGGTGGTGGGGCGGTGAGGGCGGGGGAGAGGATTGATGCTATTTTCCGACGGGAAAGAGCGAGCTCGCAGCGGATCCACCACCTGCAGTCTCTGCTCTCCCTTAGGCGTCCGGACTGGGACCGCCTTGTGTGGGGCTCCCTCCCCACGCGGGATGAAAGCGCCAGGCGCTGCCGGAGGACCACACGGCCACACTCACGCCCTCACACATACCCCGACACCCTCACACACCCCTCCACCCTCTCCCCGCTGCCTCAGCTAGGTGCGAGCGCAGAGAGGTGCAGGGGCGACCCCCGGGAACCCCCCTCCCTCTCTCTTCCCGCTACCGCCTGCTGAAGCAGCGACCTGAAAAGGGGACAGCGGGCAAAGCAGGGAATAATGGGCTCCCTCCGYGCTGTGCCCGAGGAAGGGAAGTCCAGGAGGACAGGGCAGGGAAGGCAAGGCAGGAGAGAGCCCGCCCCGGCGGGCAGCAGGGCTTGACCAGGAACGAATGCCCGAGGTTTCAGGAAGACTGAGTTTATTCCACAGGGCACCCGCAAGCAACCACGGGGAGAGGCTGTAGATTTATTTATTGATCGTCACCACAGCGTAAAGTTATTTCTTAATGCTTTACACAGACTACAGCCTGGAGTCCTAGAGCAGACACGAACCAGGTTTGCTAGACACAGCTTGCCCAATGAAGCTCTGCCCCAAGGAGTTCCCAAAACAGTGCAGATAACAAATACCTCATGAGATACTGTGCAACAAAGTCTTCTCTTCTGCTTTTTTTTTTTTTTTTTTTTTTTTTTAAGAGGGATCTTTTTTTTTTTTTTCTTTTTCTTGTGAGGCATCTCATAGATAAAGGTTGATAAGCTGATCTTTTGGGGAGGTTACTTTCTGCCAGTCTAATGACAGAACCTACTGAAGCTGTACAACTAGAAGCTAGGAAAGGAAGCCCGCAGCAAAATAGAGGTTATTTAGAGTTATCCTATGGGATTCTGTTAGTACTCACACAGTTTTCAGAAATTTCTCATTAGACTACTATTCCTGAAAACAGGTTTTGAAGTGTAGATATTCATCCAGAATAATTCACTACTTCACTGTACAAAAACCAGTAGGTATTGCTATGTTCTTGTTGGAGTAGATGCTTCAGCATTTCCGACATTGACCATTATTTCTCTAAATCTTTTAAGCAACTACGAGCTATTTTTATCCAAAAGGCAAAAGTGTGTGCAGGGATCTCCCTTATACAGGGATTTTGTATTAATAGTAGATGAACTAGGAGCAGAATATGCACAATCGGATCTGGATAATACATTTTAATTCCATTTAAAAGTGTCTATAAAGAGATTGAGCAAAAACACTCACACTGGATTTTCTCTCTGGCAATGTTAACAGCAGCAATTTGCGTACAATTGTCACAATTGGTTTAACCAAAGAAATTAGATAGAGAAGGTTTTAATTATTATTGTTATTATTTAAATTTCACTGGGGAAGCTTGCACTCTGCTTCCCAGAGGTGGGCAAGACGGAGAGTGCTTTTTCTAGGTGGGTCCCAAGGGATGCAGGCGCCGCCTGTCCATAGGGCACCACCTTCAGCACCAGGGACAGCGGCGGGTGAGGGTCGCAGGGCCATCCGGGTGTCCMGCTCCCACTGGCCCTGGGCTCCACACGAAGCAGGCAAGGAGGGAGGGTGGGGTGAAAAGAAGCCCACCCACCCATGACCTTTAAATCTCAGAGGGAGGCGATGGCCCTGATTATTGTACCAGAAACTCTTTATGGGAAGACGTAGAATCCATGCTCCCATTGCTGGAAGGGCCTCTCTGTTCTTGCCACTCTGTACTATCTACTGTTGCTGTTCTCCCCAAATTTCCTTCAAATATTGGACATCCCTCACTGCCATCATGGCCATTTCATCAATGGTATGATGGTCCAGCAAAAGGACCAACTAGAGGAAATAGGGAAGAGGGAAGGTGATGGGCMGCATGCCTGTAGTCAAGAGAAAATGTGTTTCTTACTCCAGAAATCAAAAACAAAAGATTTCTACTTGCATCTCAGAAATGCAGAGTAGTTGTTTACAGCTTGAGGTTCTCCAAAGAAAACTCAAGAGAGCCATCTGCTGTCTTAACCTGTGATAAAATGTGCRCAATTCCAGTGAAAGTGAAGGTTTTGCTAGCAGATAAATTGCAGAAGTATGAACATACCAGCTATCTTATGGACTAGTAACTGCAGAAGATAATGCATTTAGGATAAATGGGAGTATCATAGCTATAACATTTACTACATTAAAATACRATTTTATTTCTGATTAACAGAATTGTGGATACACAAACAAATGAATAAAAGCTAAACTTGGAGGGAAAAGAGATTTTCAGAACTATCTATTTTCCCATCTGTTCATTTCTAATTACTAATTCATGATTATTTTAATGAGCTTTCTAAAACACATTTTACAATCTTTAAAAGTATTTGTTTTAATGACTTTCAAAGAAAAACATTCACCAGACAAAAAAAAAAAAAAAGAGTATATATTTGTTTTACTACATAGCTGGTGTATTAAACATTATTTCTTAAATTCATTTTGAGTTATATTGCTGGGAACTAAACATACTTCATTCCATCTAATTTAAAAGCTTAGGTACAATAGGGGAAATATATACTGTTCATATTTTTGTATATTCAGGTATTAACAATACGTCAAATGTTATTTAAAGGGTTTCTGTTTTGAAAAAAAGTGATTCTATACCTTATATTCTGCCCTAACCTACGTTCATATACTACAAAATTTTAAGACTCAAAAATGTCATCTTTATGGTTTAAGGCCTATATTCTTTTTGACATTTACTGCCATTTTTGTATTCACTTGGATGGAGTTACAAACTGCAGATTCACTTTGGGTCAGTGCAAACTTGAACTCACTACAAAGTTCTTCCCTTCACAAACTATGTCAATACAAACACAACTGTATTAKTACATGCATGTCTACCTCCCTCATTCCAGGCACATTTTCTCTTCCCGTGGGTCCTGAAACTATTCCTCTTACCAAAAATAAAATGAAAGAAAACAAAAACAAAGAAAATACCCATAAGATCTACAAGAATAACATAGTTTTTCTAGATATGTTAAATGCCAGATTATATATTGCTACAAAAACAAGTTTTGGTTTCATAAGATCAAATAAAATTTGTTACACCTTCTTGTCAACAGTAGGCACAAACAACTTGCTTGTCTTGCTAAATAATACAGAACATGATGCTTTAAAATAAAGCACCAATAAAGCACTCCTTTTCTATGCAATTTATGTACATCGCATGCTTATCATGAGATGTGCTATGAGCTTTAAGGAGTTTACATTTGTTCAGTATTATGTGTGCATGCAAGTTAATCAGGGTAACCATAAGTTACTACTAATTCCTTAGAAGATGATGCAGGACAAAGCACTGCGATCTAAAAACACTAAATGTCCCCCAAAAGTTAATAGAGGTTGATTAGACATTGATGAACATTAAGAATGAAGTTTATTAAACACAGTACCTATGTTCTTTCACTGTTCAATTTCAAATGTATTCACCTTTCATTCATAATGCACTCAAGGAGACAAGTTCATATCTATTAAAATATATTGTTTCCGTGGGAGGTCTTAAGGAGTAATTTGTTTAAGTAGGATGACTAAACCCCTTTCAATAAGACCAAGAACCTAAACTTCCAATATGCTTTTTTAAAGGACCGCAAATGTGTCAGCTAACTTTTTTTTTTTTCCAGAAGCTTTAATCTTACTCAGCCTTATGTATCCAAGTCATTAGAAGAMCTGCTAATGCGCAATTAATACATATTCAAGCTAATCCACCTCATAAGTTAGTACTTTATTAGATTACCAGCTATGCTGGAAATCACAGAAATCTAAATACAGTAGGTATAGAATTTAAAGGAAGAAAGACTACACCTGCTCGCTCAGCTAGTGCATTATTACTCTGCATGGTCTGGTATCATTTCTTTTAAACATGATCTAGGATATACTTGCAACTCAGAATACTTCTATCCTAAATAAAACAATGACACTAACAATGAACAATAACTGGGTAACTTTCTCTGATGCTCAGTCACCCTCACAGTAGAACATTTTTCCCTTATGTTCAGACTGACCTTCCCGCATTGCAGTTTGTGCCTATTGTCTTTCRTCCTCTCACTGGGCACTCCTGAGAAGAAASTGGCCCTATTGTTACATGTTCCCTTTCAGATTTTTATACACATTGATGAAATCCTTCCCCTCAAGCTTTTTCTTCTCCAGCCTGAGCAGTCATAGCTCTCAGTCTTTCCACAAATGACAAATGCTTCAGTCCCTATATCAACTTAGTGACCCTTTGTTGGAGCCACTCCAGTAGCATCATGACTCTCTCATCCTGGGGAGTCCAGAATTGGACAAAGTACTCTACATGTGGTTGCCTCAGAGGG